TGTCCGAAAAAGGTGCTGCTCGACAACTTCACAGCCGTGAGAGCTCTAAGAACTGGCCAAACGAAATCTTCCCAGGCTGCAGTGAAAGTATTCACAAGAATGGTACGACAAGCTTGATCAGTTCAAATCCTATTGATAACAGTCCACTCTGGGATCATGGAGAATGAAGATGCAGACAGACTGACTAAGGAAGCCCTAAGGAACCTTCCAGATGAACCGACCACATCTCCCTAAAAAATCAGGGACAGACCTAAGTACATTTTCGTAGTCCTCACTCAGTCTATCAGGCAAAGATGTGGAGAAGCAGTGGAATCCTGGTGACTAGACTGCAGTCCAGGCCGCTACGAAGAGTTGGATCTCCAGATGAAACGAAAACGTCCACCGGAGCTAGAACTTCCGAGGTGGGCGTATCACCGCATTAACGCAGCAAGGACGGGACATGGCGATTTCCGAAAATACCATGAAAGGTTTGGCCACAAATTTGAAAACTACAAATGTGTGTGCGGAAGAGAGAAAGATCCTTGGCATATTGCCGATTGCCAGATTGCTCTACAGCAATGGAGAAACTCAAAACATGAGCCACCACCGAGAGGACGGAAGATTGTTGAAATACAGGGCTAATCCTAGTTATTAGGATTAACATGTGTTCTTTATGATTATTAGACCTACTACTATAGTATATATGTAGCGAAGCTCCCCGAGCTCTCAATAAAAGTTAGTTGAACCAATATATTCTTTTTACAGGGATGCTGGCAGAAAATAGTTAGGAATATTTCTTAAGTTCTTAACAGTAATTCAGTGTTACGAGAGGTAGATACCACACCGGGAGGACTAAGTCCCGCCGAAATATAAATTTTCAGGACAAAGGGTTGTGAGGAAGGAGGAAAGGCGCGGGGCGCATATTTTTCTTGGAATTAACTCATTAGTTATGTTTTGAGTACAGATTTGACAAACAAACTATGTACATAAGTTACAGTGTGTTTCCAGGGAGCATAGACCCGTATTACGCCTGTTGGGTGTGGGGCGTAAGCCTGATACGAAACGAATTTAAACCAACTCAAATCATAACAGACACGATGATGAGAATGGAGGGCAAGACTTAACACCTGTACGCGGTGTCCTCTACGAACCTGGGAGTGAAATATTCTCCCAGAGCCAAGTTCAGTCAAATTTCGCAATATCAAAGAAGTTGGCCCACGAGGCAAAAATTCAAATTACTCCACCATGTCAATCTTTCACTCCCAAAGAGTCCGATTCTCAACTAAGCTTCATCAAGTCTACAAGTACGACCTAGTACATCCTCATCCCAATGACCATACCTCTCGTCGACTTTCTCTGGCCTCAGCCGGTCACCAAATACACGCCCACGCCGATATTTATACCCGACGGAGGAAGCAAAGCGTGGAGCACAAATTTGGGAGATAGCTCTTTGGGATGGACGTGAGAGGGATCAGGACAAGTTCACAAGATGATGCAGAAGAGGGATACATTCTCGACGGGCGTGGAATTTTGAATTTTGGCAAGCAGTTTTACGAATTGAGCTTTGTGCGTGCCAAGACTTCGCTTGCGAGAGTGCAACTGACACTATAAAAACAAGCCAACGATGGAAGGTGTTGTGGTTCGCCTGCTGGTGGTGTTCTCTGGTATAGTTTGAGTAGCCTGGGCACCTACCTCACTTGAGAAGGAGACATTTCAGATCACATTTCGCGCGGAGAAAAGTTGATGGATGACGGAGGCATGTCTGGATAACTCAGGGTTTTTGAGACGTTCCCCTGGGTGGGTATTCACGGATGAGGGTTGACTTGGGGTGAAGAAAAAGCCACCATAACTTCGCAGTGGTACTTGCAAATGAAATCCGAGGCATGAGTGCCCCTCTCGTAAATTGAGTCATCTTTTCTGTACTTCTCTTTGATATTGTGTCATAGCTAGATAGCTGCATACGCAATTAAAATCTGATGCAAAAAAAAAAAAAAAAAGATGATGAGAATATTAAGGTGGAGTTGGAAGAGGTCACGCTTATGGATATCATTGTTGAACATACTATGCCACAGCAGGAGGATCAGGAGGAGCACGAGTAAGACGAAGATGAGGAAGCAGCTGAACCGCCTGCTACGATTAATCAAGCACTAAATAGCCTCAAGGAGCATGAGCCAGATGCCAACTCCATGGAGCTCACGATACTCATGTGCATGTAAAGAAACCTCCAGAAGCAGGTAGAGCATGAAAGAGGTCAAGGTACATTAGATAGCTGGTTTTTACGATATATAGCATAGAAAGATATCACGATTGATGTGCGAAGTGTTGTAAAAATATGAGTCCATAACTGCACACATCATCAGGGGATAACCATGCACCAGCTAAGTTAACCCCTCAGAATCTGATCACTATTGCCTCCTGATTGCTACATGCTGACATCAACGTGTTCACTACAATGATGACACTATTGTAGTTACTCTAGCTATCATAGACAATGACATGTGGAGGAACAAGGGTATGCCTCCTGTATATATATAGAGCCTTTTCACCCTCGATATCAATCATCCACATCCACAAATAAAATTTGTCGAACCATTTGAGCTGATTCGGAAGCTTTAATGATTGAGACTGGAGGTATCTGGAAGAATAGCTCGCACAGGAGCTTTCAATGGAAGTAAATAAAAAGAAGTAATTTTCTGTCTTCCTCTTTCTCTCAGCTTATGTATCTAAATATATCTACTACCTCACATGTGATGATAATTTCTAGAAATAGCTTCCTTACAAGACACAGTGCAAACATGTTGTAGCCAAGATTTAATCCTAAAACGATTCAGTAACAGACCCCCATGTCTGTTATACGGACGCCAAGGTTTACCTGAGACAATCACAAATTATGCCAGGTACCAGCTTGGCATGTTATTCTGACAACAATGTTAGGATCAGATAGAAGAATGGAATTTGCATGAAACACGAAACATTAAGCCAGGAATACGGATTCCATCGGGCTCTGATCCTTGTCTGAAAAAATGCACTATCATTCAGTTATCTTACTCTGTTCAAGTAATCTATTGAATTCTCCCATACTTATCAGTACTCTATACACAAGGTGACGTCTCCCTATCCATCGCCCTCAGCCTTTCAATACGAAGAGACGTGAAGATTTCACTAAGTGGACTAAGCAAGTGAATATGTTTTACATAGTTGCATGTGATGATGTTCTCCACCGAAACGTTACAACGATATCACGCCATAACGATACAAAATAGCGGCACGGATTCATACCGTCATAACGAGTCCGCACTGTATCTACTCCCATATTTACCATGGCCGCTAGCCATTCTGGATCTAGTGTGCAAACCCTGATACATTTTTTGGTTCCCAGTTATGGCTGTTGCTTCCGAACAGCAGTATTCTTTTCGCTGCTTCAATACGTGGCAGCCTCAGGTATACTTGTTGGACTATTTTGGAAATGGGAGTAGAAGGTAACAAATCATCGAAGGGTTGCTACTCTATTCTCTGGCTGTCGAGTATCTAAAAAACATAATTTTTTCTTATTTGAAAACCCACTAGATAACTCACCAGCAATAATGCTACCACAGAAAAATACCCTAACATGCTCAGGACAGAAAAGATTAGAATATCATCGGAAACATTTTAATGAACCCAATTTAAAGTTTGATTTATGCAGAATCCGAACAAAAAGATATTTCCCTTGATACACATCATATATCAGTATTAACTTCTCCAACCCAAGTCAAATTATGAGTCAATTTGGGTGAGCCTAGAATGACCGTAGCCCAACAACACTATGTCGTGCGATATGCCAGCTTGATATGCGATATACTCAGGGATTAATCATATTACCGAAACCAGACCGGAACTATCACAACCTTAATTAAGACCTCATGAATAATTATGACGGAAGCCTGCAATCTAACAAAATCAAGTTGGGAGTTATCGACTAATGCCTAATCCAAGTACGAGTACTTCGCCAGGCAATTGTTCGGCCCACTTATGATGGTTACGGAAGACGTCGTAGCTGTCGCATAGGCAATCATAATGGCATCGCAACGCACGCATGGAATACAGGCTCGGCATAACCATCTCACCATCAGTGCTATACAGAGTGTGCAGGCCGGGATACTCACATGCCATGATAGGCATAATTCGGAGTTGGGTGCACGGCCCGATAATATCATTGGTCCACAAGCGAACTGGCTGGGGCAAAGAGGACGAGCTCTTGTCGTGCTTTGACAACCCTTATCTTCATATCAATATATATCTCAGATAACTCCCCTGTGCGGCTGCGGGGAGGAAAAATCGCCCGAACATCCCTTCACGTGCTGGAAATTGAGCGGGATACGTAAACCACGTTACAGAATATCAATAGGTCTGGAGGGCAATATAAAGTGGACTTTTGGGTCTAAAGCAGGGTCGAGAGAACACAACCATACGTCTAAGGCAGGAGTCGCTAATTTCTGGATTGGTCTAGTTAGCGTGCGAATTGATTGGAGTATTTGGCATCTGGGCTTTTCTTTTCTGGAAAAATTTAGGACTGAGCGTGTGGTAAAGCACTTTTTGAAGAATTGGCTGTGGCAGCAGAAGATGGTGGATTACCACAAGGTTGCTGGTGCAGGTATCATAGTTTTTTTGGTAGGACGATAGATACGTCTGGCGGCCTTAGGCCGCACAGGCGCGCCAAGCGCATTCCCGAGGACTCAGAGGACGGGCCTTACCTGTGAGCCTACTTGGCGTCAAACTAAACCTCACTCACTCAGATAACACCCCCCATGGCCTATCTCGGCCGTGGCGGCGGAAGCGTATATCCACATTTCATCTACCGAAAAAACATGTTTCCTCAGGTGAACAAGGGCTACTAGCCTGAGACAGCTATTAATGGAGGTCGACGCGGGGTCGCACCAAGGCCAAAGAGGATACATTTATAAATCGAGCGCTAAGGATCACTCTCTCTGCCTACGTTGCGATAGCTCTACTATCATTCTAACCCAAGCAGCCTCCTAGATATGTCTACCACTTCCGCTCAGAACTCGCCATGTAGAGATGAAATAGGAAGAGAGCATGCCGTACATCTCGATTCTCAAGATCCGCTCCGCCATACTCGCGAGTTATTTTTGATTCCTACCCTTAACCAAGTCAAGGCTGAGACTATCGAGCAGCTCGATGGCCCAAGGTTTCATGATTCTTCGCCCGAGTCTGTCTATTTGAGTGGGAACTCGCTCGGCCTGCAGCCCCGAATCACCTCAATTCGTCTACAGCAACACCTTCTGACCTGGGCTAGCCAAGGTGTCCAGGGCCACATGAAGACGCTTCGAGGGTCCTCACTGCCGCAATGGCTCGATGCAGATGTGTTTGCGGCAGAAAAGTTGGCGTTTATCGTTGGCGCTCGGCCCAGCGAAGTGGCCATCATGGCCACGCTGTCGGCAAACCTTCACCTACTCATGTCGGCCTTCTATAAACCGGATCGCAATGGTCGCCACCGAATCATTATTGAGAGCCAAGCATTCCCATCTGATAATGTGTGTATATCTGGATGCGACAGGACTTGATAGGGTTGCATATGGTTTGACAGTAGATCACGTGACTAATGACGTCTGCAGTTTGTCGCCGAATCCCAAATACGCCATCATGACCTCGACCCTTCGACCTCTCTGCTGGTGATTCAGCCACCACCTCAAGAAGACACAATATCAACCTCTCAAATACTTTCGGTGATTGAAGAGTATGCAGCTTCGACAGCCATACTCCTCTTGCCAGGAATTCAGTGGGGATTCATGCCGCCTTTTAAAATTTAACTGACAATCTCAGGTACTATACGGGCCAACTTCTCGATATCCCCACCATCACTGCTGCCGCCAATAAGGCGGGTATTCTAACCATCTGGGACCTGGCCCACGCCATTGGGAATGTGGAGCTGAAGCTTCATGAATGGAACGTTGACGCCGCAGTTTGGTGCAGTTACAAGTATCTGAATGCGGGCCCGGGCAGTATTGGTGGTATGTTTGTTCATGAAAAGCACTACCAGGTCTCGTCAGATAGCATGGAGGAGGAAAAATCAAGGCGATTGTGTGGGTGGTGGGGTAGCCAGAAGGCTTCACGATTTATCATGGATAACCAATTCGTGCCTATTCCCGGTGCCGGTGGCTTTCAGTTGTCGAATCCGTCTATTCTGGATATCACTAGCCTGGCGGCATCTTTGGAGATATTCCAAATAGCTTGTCTCGGGAGGGAGGAGGACTCGAGCACAAGCACTGGAATCCTGCCGCTGCGGAATAAGTCTATGAAATTAACGCGATTCCTAGAAGCCTGTCTGGAAAACCTGGTATACTTCAAACTAGAAACATTCAGAATCATAACCCCGGCCGACCCACAACAGCGTGGTGCGCAACTCAGCCTGAGACTGGAGCCTGGCTTATCGAGTTCTATTATGGCAGAGCTTAGTGATCTAGGAGTTATCATTGATGAGCGGAAACCAGACGTCCTCCGCGTTACACCCGTGCCGCTCTACAATACTTTCCTCGACTGCTGGCTCTTTGTCGAGGCCTTCGAATCCGCTATAGCGACGGCGCTACTTAAAAAGGACCTTCCGTCTAACCCGCCAACGCCGCATACGCAAGGACCTTGAGGGCAGACGTACCTATTACAGTGATTCCAGTCTATACAAGGAAGCAAAGGCTTCATAGACGAGATTCAATAATTATATTGCATGGAAATATCAATGGAGGCTCACATTAATGCATGACTCGAATATGATTGGCACTAATCAGTAGGAGTTTACGGATCAAAAATATCGGTACAAAATATATGGGTACGCCAGAAAAGTAATGGGCATGTCGGTAGAGCTAGTTGGACGTGTATAAAATCGGGTGCATTTACTTTTAATGTATATTATGATTGGTTTATGATATCGGAACGTACACTTGTGCTGGAACAGTTAAGATGGTTCATTGAGAGATATATTAATATGTATATATGAGGTTACTTTGATAATCATTATGTTACAGATAGGCTGAAACTCGTCTCTTATTCCCTGGTGTTACGATTTGACCGTTGTTTGAGCTCAGGCGGATATGTAAGCTCGTGATATTGAGAATACTTACAATGAGCCGACATGGAAAGGGAAAGATGAAGCGGAACGAAACGTCACTGCTGGTCAGGAGGTTGAAGCGTTGTTACGACCGAATGACACCTGGAAATGCGTGGCTGGGTAGCAAGTATTGTGCCCATCGATAAGTCACCAATCTGTAGATTCACGAGGAGCATTAATTCTTGTAAATACCTGTTGGTAGTAAGTAGAGTCCTCTTTTCTCCTCATACACTCCCATAGATAGACTTGTTCATCACCAACTCGCTTTCCACCACAAATGCAGATTATTATTAGAGGCTTACGGCCTCGTCGAGTTGGAATCGCACTTATCCCATGCCACTTGTATAAAAGTTAGCGTGACTTATAAAAGGCCCTTTTTGATCTGCGAGACGATGAGTTTGAGGAGAGCAGGTGGTACAGTTATGGGTTAGGATGTATCACCATGATGCTGACCTTTGACTGTTGGGATATCTTTATTGGGAGTAAAGTGTGGAAAGATGTTGATTGATCAATGCTACGATAAGGGGACTTCCGACCCCTACTTATACTTGTCACGAAATCAGGTCGTGATCTGTGCGATTGAACAAAGTAAATAAAGTCTATTCTGATTCCCTAAAATAATGAAAACACAAGATTCCCATATGGTGCGCTTGAGAGGAACTCGTAGTTGAAATATATTTTACAGGGGCTGACCTGGCGGGCCCAGGACCCGTGACATCTGTTGTAAGTGTGGTCCATGGAGATGAGATTAGAGTGTTGGCCTGCGACATTCAAATGGCATGGGCCGAGAAGAAGGTCGCAGGAGTTGTTACCGTAGACATAAAAGGTGCTGTTAGACACTGAGGGTCTAATGAAAAATGTAAAGTAAAGTTGTATTGATAAAATCTCTGCTCCTCAACTCCTCTCCAGCAGTGATGCTATATACCCATCTGAAACTATCTCGAGGAGAGATTATCTTCTCCTCGTTTCCCAAAATTACATATGAAATATATTGCATGTGTTGAAGATCAAAAGATCTCAAGTTGGAGCTTTGACTATCCTGAACATCCTGAACATCCTAAACATCCTGAACATCCTAAACATCCTGAACATCCTGAACATCCTGAACATCCTGAACATCCTGAACACCGTTTCCCTGGTGATATATCAAAGCTCGAGTAAGTTAATCCGAGATGTGTCATCCTAATATCCAATGATTCTCATTACCTTATTCAGTAGGTTCTAAGCTATCAGATGTTTGACAGGTGCCTTTGATGGAATCCAAAAAGGACGCCTCTCTTACCGCCTACATAGCCAAGGATGGCCACTTAATATTACACGCTGGGTAATCTCTTTCATGGAACAAAGCGAGGCCACCTTATCTTTGGACGGCATTAAATCGCCAAGTTTTCAAATCTACTGTGGTCTTCTCCAGGGGTCCCCTATACCACCAATACTCTTCCTTTCACCTATAGAAGGAGCACTCAATCCGTCACGTAGCCCATTAGGCTAAGCTAGCGACATATCGCATCTGCACCGGACCTTTCCTCTTGCGCAAAACTGCTCCAGAATCAAGTGGACCAAACGCTTACTCGGGGACCTGGGAGCGGCATAACTTTTGAGTTTTCCAGAAATGAGCAACATTACTTTCGTAGAAAACGTGGCTCATCTATAGAACCAAGACTCTTTGCTGACGGAGTCGAAATTAGACCGAACAACGTTACTCGTCGGCTGGGCGTTTACTTTGACCGTGGCCTCCATTTCCACAACCACATTTAGAAGGCCTTCACGAGATCTCCTGCGGAGTCTCGACACCTAAAGAGAATATCGCTAACCACTCGGGGTGTTAGACCCCTCCTACTCGGACAAGCACTTCAGGGGGCAGTCTTTGCGACTCTTTTCTACGGAGCCGGGACCTGGCTCTCTAAGAATATATCCAAGGATATTTTAGCACGAATTTAACTACGAATAAATGACGCCGCCTATGTCTTTCTCCCTGTATACCGCATATCGCCGATTTCTGCTCTCCTACGGGAGATAGGGTGGGCCCCAGCCCGCGCATGGCTTGACCAGATACACGACCGTCTAACAATACGAGCTGCCTTAGCAGACTCCCATTACGTAGAAGTTGGAACTTGACACGCATACTTTGGATTCGCCAAAGGATTAATACCGAACTGGCCGGAGATACCATCCCTCCACCTTGGTCCCAAAGTGTGACGCCCCGACATTTTGGTGGCCACGTGGTCGTCGGTTCAATAGTTGGTAAGCCGACACAGGGTCAATCCAGAGATTCCAACGACTAGTTTCACACCCACGAGTCTTGTGTGTGACAAATCACGATACGAAAGGTTTGTCATGGATATTGGTTTTCATGCGAAACCCTTGGGTTGCAGGTAATGAGGGACAGGAGGTTTCGTGTTGGCAACTCTATTTCAACAGTTGAACTCTTATGTAAATATATACAGATTCATATCCTCCTAGATACTTTTCTCTTTAGTTTAGGATCTTATGATTTGAGTCCACGCCAGCTTTTGACCACTCGCCAATCGTCTTTTGTCCCTCGAGTTTCCACACAAAGTCGAGAAACAAACCTCAGAGCCATCGGCACCGTAGGGAGAGCAGCTGCCGCACTGGCTTTCACAAACTAGCAGGCTACTCGCCTCCCTTTAGATCTCTTCGTCTTTTTCGATGGTACCCTTATAGAAGACTAAGCCGGTGCTGGATTTGCAATTTACCGTGGTCTCACGCAGAAGGTTGGACAAGAATCTCTACCTTTTGTATCCTCCCCAGAAGTATATGACGCTGAGGTAGCTCGAGATTTAGAGGGATTCTCTACAGCAATAAAAAACCCTATGGCCTATCATGCCACAAACATCACAGTTTGCCTGGACAATCAGGAGGCTGCACAACGACTCCTTGCAGACACACCTACAGCAACAAGCTCCCAACAAATAGACCGATTTCGAGAGCTTGCAGATTCCTCGAAATATAGAGCTCACTACTCTGTAACACAATTGTAAAGTAAGGCGCCAGGTGGCATGTTCAGGGCTTCACAGAAAATGATGGGCTCTGAAGGGCGCCAGCACGTCAGGTAGATCTTTGTTTGGCTAAGCCACCCGTCACGTGATTACTAAAAGCACGACGCTAAGTAGTATTGAAAAGAAATTAAAAAATTTGATTAGAGTGGCAGCTGTGTTGGGTAGTATTCAGTGCACGGAAACCTCAATCTTGTACACAGGACAATTCTTCTCCTCAGTAGGTCAGCACAGTCTTCAATACACAACAATCAGACCACTGTGGAGGCTGGTAAGCCGGAAATTGCCTGTAGCCTGCGCTGTCCAAGGCCGGCTTAGCGTCAAACAATGTGGAACCCATTTTTAGAAGCGGCGGCTTACAAGTGGCAATATAAATATAGTGAAACTTCCGAGAATGAGACTCAAGGGTGGAATACTCAGGAGGACGAAGGCTGAACACCTGTCAATGGTGTCCTCTACGAACCTGGGAGTGAAATATTCTCCCAGAGCCGAGATTCAGTCACGAAAATGGGTGGGATAAATTTCAATTGATGGATTTTCGACTTGAAGGAGTTGCACTCGATATTTAGGTCGAAAAATCAGTCGACAAAGATTTCACAGCCGGAACAACGTCGAACAAAAAGTCATCACCACCAACATACGATTCATGAATGGGCCTAGGTCTATCTGGGGGTCGTATTCAAACATCCGACATCTCTTAAACTACTTTTATACTTGTGACGAAGCATTTCTCAATCGATCCTACACCTGCGACCTACCTCCATACCCGTCCGATCACCTACCTAAATACGCCCTAATGAGGAAAGTCGTGATGGAAACGGGACGTGTACAAAGGAGGAAGAAGAGGGAAGATACACCGAGTGGATGACACAAATCCCCAATGACGAAAACAACCCAACGGTACGATATGAAGGTGCAAGGCTAGAGCAACGATGAGATCTTGGACGGCATTTATATTTCGGAGTCAATGAGGATGTCAAGGGCTCGGGCGCATGGTGGCCGAGGCTGAGGAGGAAATCGCGCTACGGCGTGTATACAGCGGGTTTCTGGACGGTTAGGCTTGGTATGATTCAACACATAGGTGAAGTCTAAGGTGGTCCGGTCATTAAAGTGGGACGAGGTTTATCTGTACTTCACGGTAGTTAACCTGATCCGGCCCAACCCCACACGTGCTTAAGCTCCAATAGGAGTGCAACGGTAGCCATGTAACCTAGCACGTTAATGAACAAAACAAAACAAAACAAAACAAAACAAACAAAAACAAGGGTGGAATACGAGAACGAATTTGCGAATATACGGGTATACGGATAGAAAGCTGTTGTTGTATTTTTAAAGTCCTGAGCTAAAGTAAAAAGCTCCACATCCTAATATTGGTACAGGACCGGTGGAGCCGGTAAGGATCACTGTATACAGGCCCAACTCATTCCAACCGCGTGAACTTCCACATAAATGGTGGTGTTAACAGCAAAACTTAAATCAAAAACAAAAAACAAAAACAAGAATCAAAAATCAAATTTAGAA